ACCAAAAACAACAATGGAGTGTTGTTAGAGTGTGAGTCTGCAGACTGGTATCCAGAGCCAGAGATGTTTTGGCTGGACGGCGAGGGAACCTCCTCTCTGCTGAACCACTGAGACAGTCAGAGGTCCTGATGGTCTCTACACTGTCAGCAGCAGAGTGACTGTGGAGAAGAGACATGGGAGGAAGTTCACCTGTAGAGTCACACAGAGGAAGATCAACCAGACCAGAGAGAAGCACCTCACTATTCCAGGTAAATATATAGTCATTAATTATTTAATGATGTAATTATCAAGATAAACAGTAAATACAAACAAATGTTTTCTTCTATTTCAGATCATTTCTTTGTGGTCCCTATCTCCTCGTACTCCATGTTTGTTATCAGCGCTGTGATTGGCTGTGCTGCTTTGCTGTTCATTCCTGCGATCATCTTTGTTGTGTGGAAATGGAGACAAAAGAAATTCAGTAAGTGACAAACTGTCAGTCTTCTGATTGTAAGACTCCTAAAGGTTTTATGAAGTCATGCAGACGTTTGATGATGTATTGATGAGACTAGAGTTTAAGAAGTGATTAGCATTTAGTTTTAGTTTCATTTGCATACATCCATTTATGATGAGGTCAGCTTTTGTTCAAAAACTTCACCAGTTTCTCTATCTTTTGTGTCTTCACAGAAAACAAGAAGAGGAGACGTGAGGATGGAAGTGAACACTCTGAGGAAGAAAACCAGTCACATCTAAAAGTGATAAAACAGGATTTCAGGTTGTGAATGAAAGAAGAAAGAAGAAAACTTCCACTCATTTCAGTTAAAGAGAAGAGAATAATGCTGACAAAACAGAGAAAAGAGTGAGACTGAAGATGAGATTGTGACAGAACCAGAGCCAGTAAAAAGACATCGTCTCTGCAGCAGGAAAACGTGAAATGAAGGAAACAGATCTACCTGTGATTCTAAAAAGAAGAAACAAACCAAGAGCAGGAACAGGGACAAAGACGAGAAACAAATGATGGAGACGAGAGTAAAGAGGAGACAGTGAAACCAGTTAGAGACGATTCAGGACTTTCAATACAAACAAAACACATCAACACTGATCAGAAGTTAGAGAGGGAAGAGACACAGCAAGAGGCATTGAGTGACATCGTCCAGAAAGAGACAAAAACTGGGAAACACTCTGAGGAAGAAAAACCAGTCACATCTAAAAGTGATAAAACAGGATTTCAGGTTGTGAATGAAGGAGAAAAAGAAAAACTTCCACTCATTTCAGTTAAAGAAGAAGAGAATAATGCTGACAAAACAGAAGAAAAGAGTGAGACTGAAGATGAGATTGTGACAGAACCAGAGCCAGTAAAAGACATCGTCTCTGCAGCAGGAAAACGTGAAATGAAGGAAACAGATCTACCGTGATTCTAAAAGAAGAAACAAACCAAGAGCAGGAACAGGGACAAGACGAGAAACAAATGATGGAGACGAGAATGAACAGAAGACAGTGAAACTAGTTAGAGACGATTCAGGACTTTCAATACAAACAAAACACATCAACACTGATCAGAAGATGGAGAGGGAAGAGACACAGCAAGAGGCATTGAGAGATGAAGACGAGAAAGAGACAAAAACTGGGAAACACTCTGAGGAAGAAAAACCAGTCACATCTAAAAGTGATAAAACAGGATTTCAGGTTGTGAATGAAGGAGAAAAAGAAAAACTTCCACTCATTTCAGTTAAAGAAGAAGAGAATAATGCTGACAAAACAGAAGAAAAGAGTGAGACTGAAGATGAGATTGTGACAGAACCAGAGCCAGTAAAAGACATCGTCTCTGCAGCAGGAAAACGTGAAATGAAGGAAACAGATCTACCCGTGATTCTAAAAGAAGAAACAAACCAAGAGCAGGAACAGGGACAAAGACGAGAAACAAATGATGGAGACGAGAATGAACAGAAGACAGTGAAACTAGTTAGAGACGATTCAGGACTTTCAATACAAATAAAACACATCAACACTGATCAGAAGATGGAGAGGGAAGAGACACAGCAAGAGGCAGTGAGAGATGAAGACGAGAAAGAGACAAAAACTGGGAAACACTCTGAGGAAGAAAAACCAGTCACATCTAAAAGTGATAAAACAGGATTTCAGGTTGTGAATGAAGGAGAAAAAGAAAAACTTCCACTCATTTCAGTTAAAGAAGAAGAGAATAATGCTGACAAAACAGAAGAAAAGAGTGAGACTGAAGATGAGATTGTGACAGAACCAGAGCCAGTAAAAGACATCGTCTCTGCAGCAGGAAAACGTGAAATGAAGGAAACAGATCTACCTGAGATTCTAAAAGAAGAAGAAACAAACCAAGAGCAGGAACAGGGACAAAGACGAGAAACAAATGATGGAGACGAGAGTAAAGAGGAGACAGTGAAACCAGTTAGAGACGATTCAGGACTTTCAATACAAATAAAACACAATAACACCGATCAGAAGTTAGAGAGGGAAGAGACACAGCAAGAGGCATTGAGTGACATCGTCCAGAAAGAGACAAAAACTGGGAAACACTCTGAGGAAGAAAAACCAGTCACATCTAAAAGTGATAAAACAGGATTTCAGGTTGTGAATGAAGGAGAAAAAGAAAAACTTCCACTCATTTCAGTTAAAGAAGAAGAGAATAATGCTGACAAAACAGAAGAAAAGAGTGAGACTGAAGATGAGATTGTGACAGAACCAGAGCCAGTAAAAGACATCGTCTCTGCAGCAGGAAAACGTGAAATGAAGGAAACAGATCTACCTGTGATTCTAAAAGAAGAAACAAACCAAGAGCAGGAACAGGGACGATGGAGACGAGAAACAAATGATGGAGACGAGAATGAACAGAAGACAGTGAAACTAGTTAGAGACGATTCAGGACTTTCAATACAAACAAAACACATCAACACTGATCAGAAGATGGAGAGGGAAGAGACACAGCAAGAGGCAGTGAGAGATGAAGACGAGAAAGAGACAAAAACTGGGAAACACTCTGAGGAAGAAAAACCAGTCACATCTAAAAGTGATAAAACAGGATTTCAGGTTGTGAATGAAGGAGAAAAAGAAAAACTTCCACTCATTTCAGTTAAAGAAGAAGAGAATAATGCTGACAAAACAGAAGAAAAGAGTGAGACTGAAGATGAGATTGTGACAGAACCAGAGCCAGTAAAAGACATCGTCTCTGCAGCAGGAAAACGTGAAATGAAGGAAACAGATCTACCCGTGATTCTAAAAGAAGAAACAAACCAAGAGCAGGAACAGGGACAAAGACGAGAAACAAATGATGGAGACGAGAATGAACAGAAGACAGTGAAACTAGTTAGAGACGATTCAGGACTTTCAATACAAATAAAACACATCAACACTGATCAGAAGATGGAGAGGGAAGAGACACAGCAAGAGGCAGTGAGAGATGAAGACGAGAAAGAGACAAAAACTGGGAAACACTCTGAGGAAGAAAAACCAGTCACATCTAAAAGTGATAAAACAGGATTTCAGGTTGTGAATGAAGGAGAAAAAGAAAAACTTCCACTCATTTCAGTTAAAGAAGAAGAGAATAATGCTGACAAACAGAAGAAAAGAGTGAGGCTGAAGATGAGATTGTGACAGAACCAGAGCCAGTAAAAGACATCGTCTCTGCAGCAGGAAAACTTGAAATGAAGGAAACAGATCTACCTGAGATTCTAAAAGAAGAAGAAACAAACCAAGAGCAGGAACAGGGACAAAGACGAGAAACAAATGATGAGACGAGAGTAAAGAGGAGACAGTGAAACCAGTTAGAGACGATTCAGGACTTTCAATACAAATAAAACACATAACACCGATCAGAAGTTAGAGAGGGAAGAGACACAGCAAGAGGCATTGAGTGACATCGTCCAGAAAGAGACAAAAACTGGGAAACACTCTGAGGAAGAAAACCAGTCACATCTAAAAGTGATAAAACAGGATTTCAGGTTGTGAATGAAGGAGAAAAAGAAAAACTTCCACTCATTTCAGTTAAAGAAGAAGAGAATAATGCTGACAAAACAGAAGAAAAGAGTGAGACTGAAGATGAGATTGTGACAGAACCAGAGCCAGTAAAAGACATCGTCTCTGCAGCAGGAAAACGTGAAATGAAGGAAACAGATCTACCTGTGATTCTAAAAGAAGAAGAAACAAACCAAGAGCAGGAACAGGGACAAAGACGAGAAACAAATGATGGAGACGAGAATGAACAGAAGACAGTGAAACTAGTTAGAGACGATTCAGGACTTTCAATACAAACAAAACACATCAACACTGATCAGAAGTTAGAGAGGGAAGAGACACAGCAAGAGGCATGAGTGACACGAGAAAGAGACAAAAACTGGGAAACACTCTGAGGAAGAAAAACCAGTCACATCTAAAAGTGATAAAACAGGATTTCAGGTTGTGAATGAAGGAGAAAAAGAAAAACTTCCACTCATTTCAGTTAAAGAAGAAGAGAATAATGCTGACAAAACAGAAGAAAAGAGTGAGACTGAAGATGAGATTGTGACAGAACCAGAGCCAGTAAAAGACATCGTCTCTGCAGCAGGAAAATGTGAAATGAAGGAAACAGATCTACCTGTGATTCTAAAAGAAGAAGAAACAAACCAAGAGCAGGAACAGGGACAAAGACGAGAAACAAATGATGGAGACGAGAATGAACAGAAGACAGTGAAACTAGTTAGAGACGATTCAGGACTTTCAATACAAACAAAACACATCAACACTGATCAGAAGTTAGAGAGGGAAGAGACACAGCAAGAGGCATTGAGTGACATCGTCCAGAAAGAGACAAAAACTGGGAAACACTCTGAGGAAGAAAAACCAGTCACATCTAAAAGTGATAAAACAGGATTTCAGGTTGTGAATGAAGGAGAAAAAGAAAAACTTCCACTCATTTCAGTTAAAGAAGAAGAGAATAATGCTGACAAAACAGAAGAAAAGAGTGAGACTGAAGATGAGATTGTGACAGAACCAGAGCCAGTAAAAGACATCGTCTCTGCAGCAGGAAAACGTGAAATGAAGGAAACAAATCTACCTGAGATTCTAAAAGAAGAAGAAACAAACCAAGAGCAGGAACAGGGACAAAGACGAGAAACAAATGATGGAGACGAGAATGAACAGAAGACAGTGAAACTAGTTAGAGACGATTCAGGACTTTCAATAGAAACAAAACACATCAACACTGATCAGAAGTTAGAGAGGGAAGAGACACAGCAAGAGGCATTGAGTGACATCGTCCAGAAAGAGACAAAAACTGGGAAACACTCTGAGGAAGAAAAACCAGTCACATCTAAAAGTGATAAAACAGGATTTCAGGTTGTGAATGAAGGAGAAAAAGAAAAACTTCCACTCATTTCAGTTAAAGAAGAAGAGAATAATGCTGACAAAACAGAAGAAAAGAGTGAGACTGAAGATGAGATTGTGACAGAACCAGAGCCAGTAAAAGACATCGTCTCTGCAGCAGGAAAACGTGAAATGAAGGAAACAGATCTACCTGTGATTCTAAAAGAAGAAACAAACCAAGAGCAGGAACAGGGACGATGGAGACGAGAAACAAATGATGGAGACGAGAATGAACAGAAGACAGTGAAACTAGTTAGAGACGATTCAGGACTTTCAATACAAACAAAACACATCAACACTGATCAGAAGATGGAGAGGGAAGAGACACAGCAAGAGGCATTGAGAGATGAAGACGAGAAAGAGACAAAAACTGGGAAACACTCTGAGGAAGAAAAACCAGTCACATCTAAAAGTGATAAAACAGGATTTCAGGTTGTGAATGAAGGAGAAAAAGAAAAACTTCCACTCATTTCAGTTAAAGAAGAAGAGAACAATGCTGACAAAACAGAAGAAAAGAGTGAGACTGAAGATGAGATTGTGACAGAACCAGAGCCAGTAAAAGACATCGTCTCTGCAGCAGGAAAACGTGAAATGAAGGAAACAGATCTACCCGTGATTCTAAAAGAAGAAACAAACCAAGAGCAGGAACAGGGACAAAGACGAGAAACAAATGATGGAGACGAGAATGAACAGAAGACAGTGAAACTAGTTAGAGACGATTCAGGACTTTCAATACAAATAAAACACATCAACACTGATCAGAAGATGGAGAGGGAAGAGACACAGCAAGAGGCAGTGAGAGATGAAGACGAGAAAGAGACAAAAACTGGGAAACACTCTGAGGAAGAAAAACCAGTCACATCTAAAAGTGATAAAACAGGATTTCAGGTTGTGAATGAAGGAGAAAAAGAAAAACTTCCACTCATTTCAGTTAAAGAAGAAGAGAATAATGCTGACAAAACAGAAGAAAAGAGTGAGGCTGAAGATGAGATTGTGACAGAACCAGAGCCAGTAAAAGACATCGTCTCTGCAGCAGGAAAACTTGAAATGAAGGAAACAGATCTACCTGTGATTCTAAAAGAAGAAGAAACAAACCAAGAGCAGGAACAGGGACAAAGACGAGAAACAAATGATGGAGACGAGAGTAAAGAGGAGACAGTGAAACCAGTTAGAGACGATTCAGGACTTTCAATACAAATAAAACACAATAACACCGATCAGAAGTTAGAGAGGGAAGAGACACAGCAAGAGGCATTGAGTGACATCGTCCAGAAAGAGACAAAAACTGGGAAACACTCTGAGGAAGAAAAACCAGTCACATCTAAAAGTGATAAAACAGGATTTCAGGTTGTGAATGAAGGAGAAAAAGAAAAACTTCCACTCATTTCAGTTAAAGAAGAAGAGAATAATGCTGACAAAACAGAAGAAAAGAGTGAGACTGAAGATGAGATTGTGACAGAACCAGAGCCAGTAAAAGACATCGTCTCTGCAGCAGGAAAACGTGAAATGAAGGAAACAGATCTACCCGTGATTCTAAAAGAAGAAACAAACCAAGAGCAGGAACAGGGACAAAGACGAGAAACAAATGATGGAGACGAGAATGAACAGAAGACAGTGAAACTAGTTAGAGACGATTCAGGACTTTCAATACAAACAAAATACATCAACACTGATCAGAAGATGGAGAGGGAAGAGACACAGCAAGAGGCAGTAAGAGATGAAGACGAGAAAGAGACAAAAACTGGGAAACACTCTGAGGAAGAAAAACCAGTCACATCTAAAAGTGATAAAATAGGATTTCAGGTTGTGAATGAAGGAGAAAAAGAAAAACTTCCACTCATTTCAGTTAAAGAAGAAGAGAATAATGCTGACAAAACAGGAGAAAAGAGTGAGACTGAAGATGAGATTGTGACAGAACCAGAGCCAGTAAAAGACATCGTCTCTGCAGCAGGAGAACGTCAAACGAAGGAAACAGATCTACCTGTGATTCAAAAAGAAGAAGAAACAAACCAAGAGCAGGAACAGGGACAAAGACGAGAAACAAATGATGGAGACGAGAGTAAAGAGGAGACAGTGAAACCAGTTAGAGACGATTCAGGACTTTCAATACAAATAAAACACATCAACACTGATCAGAAGATGGAGAGGGAAGAGACACAGAAAGCGGCAGTGAGTGAAGAAGACGAGAAAGAGACAAAAACTGAGAAGGAGATACCAAAGACAGAGGATAACAGGGGAACAAGGTGTCAGCTAATGTGAAAGGTACAGAGATGTCAGAATTTGAAAAACATCAAGATGAAACAGGAAGAAAGAACCAAGAGGTTTTAGCAGACAAAGACGTTCAGACAGAGAAACACCAGGGAGAAAAATCTGAACCAGATCAGAACGAAACCAAATACCAGCCAGCAGAATCAAAAGAGGGTGTAGGGGTTGAGATTAAACAAAGACAAGAAGAGAGGCAGGAAGCTGGTCTACAAGAGGACAATGATACAACTCAAAGGAAGTCTGTGGAGATACTAAACCAAGTTAGAGGAGTAGAAGAAGAAAAGCAGGCAGAGCAACAACTGGATGTAAAGGTAAAAGTCAGAGAGCAAAGAGAGGAATCTAAAGAGGAGGTTATGGTGGAGGATAATGGAAGAGGGGAGGAGAGTTTAGAGACTGACAGAAAAGCTTCTGTTGATGAAACCCAAAGGAAGGCTGAGGGGAAAGAAAACCAGAGAAGAAGAAGAAGAGAAGAAGCAGCCAGACAAGCAGCTACACGCAGACGAGAAGCTCAGCATAAAGCTAAAGGAATCACAGAGGAGATCAAAGTAGAGGGGACAGACGGAGAGGAAGAGGAGTCTGTAACTGATAAAGAAGTTGACACATATGAAACCCAAAAGAAGCACAAGAAGATAACATCAGAATCCAAAAGAGGAGAACAGCAGCTGATGCTGCAACATTCAGACATGAATAAAGAAATGAGAGAGAGAGGAGTGGAGGGTCAGGAGGACCTGCAGCAGGAGGAGGACATGGAGACTGATCAACCTCAACCAAATGTCATACAAAGTATTGAACCACTACATACACAAGAGGAAGGTCTCCATATGGATCAGCAACAAAGAGACGATTTAAGGAGGAATTCAGAAGAAGGCAGATCGCAGATAGAGGCTAGTACTGAAATGCTAACACAGGGTCATGAAGAGCAAAATATGAATTTAATAAAGGAACAACAGCAGCAGGAGGAGGACATGGAGACTGATCAATCTCAACCAAATGTCATACAAAGTATTGAACCACTAAATACACAAGTTCAATTTAAATCAGCTACAGAGGGACAGAGTAAGGGGGCTTTTGGTAGAGGACAGAAAGAGGAACATCAACACTGATCAGAAGATGAAGAAGGAAGAGAGACAGCAAGAAACAGAGAGAGATGAAGACGAGAAACAGACAAAAACCGAGAAAGAGGCCCAGCTCCAAAACATAAACACTGATCAGAAGACGGAGGAGACAACAACTGAGATAGACCAAAGAAAGAGAAAAAGCTTAAGAGAAAAGGAGGCTCTGGAGCGAGAGGACAGTAAAAGGAGAAAGGTATGACAAAGTCAGATCGAGAGACGTTGGAGATATGCTTCAGTCAGAGACAAAGAAAGGAGAAAACAAAGATGAGACTCAGCAGTCATTCATTAATTAATGAACGACAAACACTGACAGAGCCAAGTATGATGAGCCCAATAACAAATACCCGAGTGAGTGGTAAATATTAGCACTAGACAACACTAGAGCAGAACTCGTTAGGTGTGGACTGGTCTCT